ATTAAAACACACACAGAGTAAGTCCATGGAGACATTCTGCAAATGTAAAGGCTGTCAAGAAAAAGAATTGTGATGAAGTTCTTTTGCTAATTCTGACATTAGCCAAATTGAGGGGAGAGCCAGGAATGACCCAAACTGATGCAGCAGCACTGATTGCCTTCTTCCTTATGCCCATCGTGATCCTTAAGGTCAGCCAAGAGCAGCCTCCTGCAAGTATCACAAACATGTTGAGTCCACTTGGTGAAAACGTTCATGGGAGGTCATCTTCAGCAGTTGCCCCTCAGCTCTGGAACTCCATCCTTCTCAAGGTGTGCCAGAGCTGGAGCCGTTTTCTGGAAATGCTGTACAATCGTTCTACTTGGGCAGGCATTTAGCAAACAAAGCTAGGCTGAGATGTTGTTTAAGGAGCTCTTTTGTGCTGATATTTTAGTTCCCATTCAAGTTGTATGGTATTTTTCTGCTATATAAGCACTGGATCTTCTCACATACTATACAGCCCAAATAAGACATGCACCTTCTTTTTGGAAAGGCAGAATGAAGAAGAAAAACGGTTTTTCCAGGGGGGGTTTCCATACAGCAGAGACAGTACCTAATATTTCAGCTGGCTCACCCTCCTTTTCCAACAGGTTTAACCCTTTCACAGCTGAACTGTCAGCAGCTCTTAGCTGCTCAGCCAAAAGCTGAAACTAGCTGCTGCCGAATACTGGATTCCATGGGCAGATCTAGGATTTTAAAAGAGACAAGGCCAGTCTGTGGGTCTGTGAAACAGTGGAAGAGAGACCAGGGTAGCTAACAGAAAGCAAAACTGCCAACCCATGATCTAGTGCAGGGGTTCTCAAACATTTTTGTACTAGGACCCATTTGTAAACGTTGATGGCTAGTCCTGACCTAGTAAATAGTTTAAATAGAAAACAGCCTCCTGGCCATGCCAGTGCCCCTCACTCCCCACCCCCCAGCCCTGCTTGTGCCCCTCACTCCTGACCTGCTATCCCTAGGCCCCAGGCCCGCAGTGTGTAGGGCAGGGGGTGGGTGTGTGGGGTGAGGTATGGGGGGGTATGTTCCCCCCCCCCCTGACTTTTGTGCCAACATTGAGCACAGGGCTGCAGCCTGGCCAGACCTGCATATGCAGGAGCCGTCTCCACAGCCCAGCAGGTGGAACCCAGTATGGGATGGCAGAGCTGGGTTGTAGGACATCACCGCTGCTGCTGGCAGGACCCCCGTGCCAGCCTTGCTGGCAGCAGTGCAAAAAGTAACAGATGTGGGGGAGGGGGGAGGCCATGCTGCCCTCAACTCCTCCTGCCACCAGCCACTCGTGCACTGGGCCACAGCTTTACCCTACTGCCATAGCCTGGCTGCTGCCACCGCTCCCCTAAGGCTCCCTAGCTGCCACCCACCTCCCCTCTGGGGTAGAGCTGTGGCCTGAGGTGAGTGGCAGCAGCAGTGGCAGCTGGGCCATGGTGGTGAGGTAGAGCCGTAGCCTGACATGAGTGGCTGGTAGTGGGAGGAAGTGAAGGCAGCATGATCCTCCTGTCTGTCTGCCTGCTACTCCTCACACTGTTCGCTCACCAGTGGAGTCTCACTGCCCCACTCTGCCCTCATGCAATGGGTCCTGCCTGCTGGGCTGTGGAGGTGGCTCCTGCCTATGCCAGGCCAGCCAGGCTGCAGCCCCGTGCCCACTGTGGGTGCGCAAACCTGAGGGGAACACACCCCCCAAACATCATTGCCTGTGCCCCCTTGCCCACCCTATAGAGTTACCTGCAGGCTGCCACATGCATGTGAGGGATATAGCTTATAGCCCTGTTGGTCTAAGAAGCAGACAAAACTCTTGTGATATCTTTTATTAGACCAACTAAATAGTAGCAAAAACCATTTTTTTCTTTCATAGATTGTTAGTGGCTGGAAGGGACCTTGCAGATCATCGGGTCTAGTCCCTCCACTCTAGGCAGGAAGACAACTGGGGTCAGGTGACCCCAGCAAGGTGACTGTCCAGTCTCCTTTTGAAAACCTCCAGGGTAGGTGACTGCACCACCTCTGGAGGGAGTTTATTCCACAGTTTGGACACCCTGACTGTGAAGGAGTTTTTTCCTGGTATTAAACCTGAAGCGACCTTCCAGGAGTTTGTATCCATTGGTCCTGGTCTTCCCCAGGGGTGCCCTAGTGAACAGTTGTTCACCAAGCTCCTAATGCACTCCTCTGATATAGCAGTTAAGCTGCTATCAAGTCCCCTCTCAATCTTCTCTTCTTTAGGCTAAAGAGGCCCATGTCCCCCAGCCTTTCCTTGTATGGCTTGCTGTGCAAATCCCTGATCATAAGAGTGGCTCTTTTCTGGACCCTCTCAAGTTTTTCCACGTCCTGCAGCGCCCAGAACTGGATGCAGTACTCCAACTGTGGTTTCCAGTGCTGAGTGCAGCGGGAGTATCACTTCCTTAGTTTTATACAAGATGCATCAGTTGATACATGCTATTTACCCTGCTGACCACCACCTCGTACTGACGGCTCATATTCATGCAATGGTCAATCATTACCCCTAGGTCCCTTTTGGCGGTGGTGCAAGTCAAGCTGTCATCACCCAGCCTGTATGTATGTTGAGGGTTGCTTGCCTCCAGATGGAGCACCTTACACTTGGAAGTGTTAAATTTCATCTGGTTCTGGTCTTCCCAAATCTCTAGCCTGTCCAGGTTCACCTGTATCTGCAACCTATCTTCTGACATGACTACACTGCCCTATAACTTGGTGTCATTGACAAACTTGGCCAGCGAGCTTTTCCCTCCCCCATCCAAATCATTGATAAAGATGTTGAAAAGCACTGATCCAAGCAGGGACCCCTGAGGGACACCACTGGCTACTTTATGCCAGGACGACACAGATCCATTAATGAGAACTCTCTGGGTCCTACACTGTAGCCTGTTTCCCACCCACTGAACCGTTGAGCAGCTGAGCCCACAATCTTTCAGTTTTCCCACAAGGATATCGTGAGATACTAGATCAAAAGCCTTTTGGAAGTCTAGGTATATGTCAACCTCCTCTCCCTTGCCCAGGTGGCGAGAGACCTGGTTGTAGAAGATGAGATTGGTTAGACAAGACCTACCCACAACAAATCCATGCTGGCTTTGTTCAGAATCTTACCTTCCGCAAGCATATCGCACATAAATTCTTTAATGAGCTTTTCCAGGATTTTCCCTGGGATAGAGATTAAGCTAATTGCCCTATAGTTCCCTGGGTCCTCCCTCTTCCCCTTCTTGAAGATGGGCACAATGTTGGCCCTCTTCCAATCCTCAGGGATCTCCCCTGAGCACCAGGAACTCTGAAAGAGCTTCGCCAGGGGCTCCACGATGACCTCAGCCAGCTCCTTCAGCACTCTCGGATGGAGTCCATCCGGTCCTGCTGACTGATAAATGCCTAGCTTTTCTAGTTGGTATTGAACCTGCTCAGCATCCGCAGTGGGGAGGCTGTCATTCCCGGCATGCACCCTATGAGCCTTATCTCGCTCGTCTTTTCCCTTGGTCTGGTGAAATACTGACTGAAGCAAAGTGGGTATCCAGGAGTTGTTTTTTCCTGAACCTCAGTTACCAGGTGCCCCGAGTTGTTAAACAGGGGTCCCACACTTCCATTTGTTTTCCTTCTACTGCCTACATATCTAAAGGAGGACTTTTTACTGTCCTTGCCTCCCATGGCCAACCTAAACTCCGTGGCATCTCTGCAAGCCTTCAGGTCCAAACACCCTTCTTCAGGCAGAGGAGAGTTCAGGGACTGTAAAAGTTCTCTTAGGCAGAAACGAAACTTCATCTTGCACAGGGGCAGGGTGTTGTGGCTGTGCACATGCATGTGTCGCCCGCACCTGACCGCCCTCCTCCCGCCGCCGCAGCCCCTTAGGGCAGGGCGATCTCTGCCGCCTGCCTGCGAGGGGAAACCCGCCCTTCCCCGTCTCTCCTCTTTAAAGGAGAATCCATTTGAAGTTTGTTCGCAGCCCTTTCATTCCTATATTCTTGCCACCCACTTCTGGATCACGCCCCCGGGCTGAAAAGCGCTGCTCGAGCCGGGCGAGAGCCCACGAGAAGGGAGACGGCTGCAGTAAAGAGGAAGCGCGCGGGCCCCGCCCCGCCCGCACAGGCAGGCGGGCGCCGCCGGCAGGATCCAGCCGCGGTGCTGAGGGCCGCGCTCAGCCTTGGAAAGCAAAACGTTGCGGGAAAGGAGTGCCCGGCACACGAGGAAATGCGGCGCCCGGCTGCCCGCAAGATGGAGGCGGCTCCAGCCGGCAGCCCCGCCCGAGCGGCCACCCCCTGCACAACGGGCGAGGC